AGAATGTTGGGAATGTCAAGAATTTTTTTTTTTTTACCACTTCCCCCTTTCTTAGAAACCCAGTAGTAGCCTGGTCTTGTTTTGATTTCCTGCTCTTGCCTCTTTTTCATAGTCTAGGATTTGAGGGTTGTTGCAAGGTTTCTGATTAAGTTCACAGGACAGGAGACAGGCCTGAGAGTGGACCATAGGGATCTGTCCAAGCCAAGAAAACTTAGAAGGCAAGGTTTCAGTCTCATTGTAAGTGGATCTCCAGGGAGAGACTATTCACTGAAAAGTGAAACACATAGCTAAGTTCCAGAGTACATTGCCAGATAATTCTAGCTTGATTCTTTCTCATTTGTAAAGGTACAGCCCAGCTGGAGCCAGATGTTCATTCTAAGCTATCATTTATTTTCCACCACTGCTCATTTTTTACATGGAACTTCAATATGTGGAATTTTGCTCTCATAGAATTTATGACACCACAAATCTGCATTTAAGGAATTTTTCCTGAGGCTCTATGGGTGGTCTGAATGGCTTAGAAACTTGACTGGGGCAATGTTGGGTCTTGGGGACCCCCCAACAACATATGTCAACTCAGGCTAGAGTACAGCTTGGGCTAGCAAAGGATGCCATAACAATATCATTTATTTGGTGCTTACTATATGCCAGGTATTGTGCTAGGCTTGGTCAGTCGATCAGTAAACATTTATTTAGGTCCTATGTGCCAGCCACAATGCCAAGCACTGGGAATACAAAAAGGGGCAAAACAAGGACCAAAAGAAAAAAAGTTACTGGCCTCTTGGAGTTTCCATCATTTTGCTGGATATAGAGCAAGAGTTATTAATGGATTGCCTAAGAGTCTGAGGAAAGATTTTAGGGAGTCCATGACCTTCCATAGGAAAAAAAAAATTGCATGTTTGTTTTCCCTAATTGGAGCTGGAATTTAGCATTTCCTTCAATTATGAATTTAAAAGAAACCTAAAAAAACCCCCCCAAAGCCCCACATTATTCTGAGAAAAAGTCCATGGATTTTACCAGACTGCCAAAGGGGTCCAGGATAGAAAAAAAAGAACCTCTAATGCAGAGAATGGAAAGAAAAAGTGGAAGTTATGCTGTAATAGATGACAACTAGCTAAGGAAGTAGGGAGAATGTAGGGCTGGGGTAAAAATGAATTCCCACCAGTATTAAGCTGGAGCTCCTCTTTTGTGTGAAAGGCTTGCTGTGATCACAGAACAAGTCATGGAGTTATAGGTCCAAAAGCCTGGGAAATCATTTAGTCCAACCTCCATGTTCTACAGCTGAGGAATCTGAAAGGAGACCTTGAGAGGATGCAGAGACAAGTGATGGGACTGGGATGAGAACCCAGATTTTCTGATTCTCACTTTAGGGCTATTTTATCTACAACCCACCACCCCATCCAGCTGTGGTAGGTCAAAGAGCTGGAACAAGTGAGCCAGGGGCCAAAGAGGGATGATTGAGACAAATTAGAAGAGAGGGAAGGGCAAAACCCTAGTGCCCCTACTCTAATTTATTAGCTATGGGAATGAATTTTTTTCTTTCAAATGTTAATAATGCAATTGGGAACAACATTTAATACCCATAAATTTGCTTCAAATAACTTTAAAATGACAGCATTCATTTGAATACTAGGATATCTGTAATTGTAGGGTTGAGTTGGAAGGGACATTAAGTTCAACCTCCTTATTTCACAGCTGAGGAAACTGAGGCATGGAGAAGTTAAATGACTTGCCTGAGATCATATGGCTAATATTTGTAGGTTATTTTGTGAGATGGAGAAGTTAGAGAATGGAGAATACAGGGTGGTGTATATTAGAAGAATGGTTTTCTTTTCTTTTTTTCTTTCTTTTTTTTTTTTTTAGATAGAGACTTAGTTTGCTGGGGCAAGAAGGAGGGATTAGAGAAGAGAATGACAGGATTGAGTCTGACCCTTCATTCCCTTCTAGTCTTAATTCCTGAGGAGTGAAGGAGTCAAGACTTCAGGCCTTGAAGTTCTGGAGAAAGCTGGCTGGGGTTAAGTAATTATGGGAAATTGGTGGGGTCCCCGGAATTTGAGGGTCAGTAGTGATTTTGGAGGCACTATAGTATAATGTCAAGAGCACTGGCCTAGGGGAGCCAAGAGACTTGGGTTAGATTCTTTTATTTTTACATCCCTTACATCCCTAATAGTAGAGACAGCCTTTATAATAAAGAATAAAAAAGAGAAAAAAGCCAGATTACCAAAATTAAATACAAATAAACACCAAAAATAAAACTTGAAAAAGCCTAATGTTATATCCAGTGTTCCATACGCATAGTCTTCCACTTCTGAAACACTATGGGAATATGCCTTCTTGTATTCCTCCTCTGACACCAAGCTTGGTCATTACAATTTTCTTCAATTAAATTTTCATTTTTTTCATTCAGTGAAAATCTGCCTTCTTTTTTCCCTCTCTCCTCCATTCCTTTTCCATTGGGAAAGAAAAAACCTCAGTTACAAACAAGGATTTTCAAACAAAATAAATTCCCCTATTGGCCGTGTCAAAAAAAAAAATCTCATTCTTCACGTTGAATCCGTCACCTCATCATGAGTCTTCTGGAATCGTGGTTGGTTATAATTTCACAGCATTCAGTTTCAATTGTTTCGTTGTTCTTGCAATCTACATTATTGCAGTCATTGTTTATACTGTGTTCCTGGTTCTGTTTATTTTCCTCTGCATCTGTTCATAGATCTTCCCATCTTTTTCCATGTTCATATTCAGTGTTTTTTTTACAGCACAATGATATTCCATTACCTTCATGTAATGCAAGTTTAGATGTTCTCCAAAGGACTTCTATTTTGTTTCCACTTGTTTGCTAATAGGAAAAATGCTGCTATAAACTGGTATATGTGGAACCTTTCTTGTGTCGTTGACCTTCCTAGAGTATATGCCTAACAATAGAATCTCTGGGTCAAGAAATAAAGACATTTTTAGACTATGCTTTAACATTTTTTATTTTATTTTTTCAGTTAATACAAATTTATTTTCTCTCCCTCCTACCTTGGCCTCCCAAATGAAAAAGAAAAACAAAACTCTTGTAATAAGTATGCATAATCATGCAAAATAAATTCATACATTGGTCATCTCAAAAATATACATCTAAACCTGTATCCTGAGTCCATTATCTCTTGTCTAGACAATGATTTTCAAGTGCTCATTCCATTCCTAAGACACTGTGACTGGAAGGGAGTAGTGATAAACAAGTAGGTCGTTTATTCATTTTTATGAAGAACACTAAGGAGAGAACCCAAACTATTTGTTTTAGGGGAAAAGATTAGCATTTCAAGAATCCCCCATGGGGTTGCTTCTGAATGATTAGAAGGCGTCTGAAAATTATCTGGATGGACGGTTTACTGGGCCTTTAGGCTATTATGTTGTGTAGCTAGTGAAGAGAAACTGCAGACTGGCATCTTTTGTTCTAGACCTAAGATATTCAACCTTTCAAGGACAGGTTTTTTACATACTCTTGATGATTATGTTTTTCTTCCAAATGGCTTTATAATTGGATTGCTCTCACTACTCCCTTTCCCTAAACACATTATGTCATTTTGTATATTAACGGTACGAGGTGGATTTTATTTAATATTTGTGGAGGTCAGGAGTGATTTTTCTTTCCAACCTGCACAGAAACTATCCTTTGGTCACAGATGTGGGTTTTGGTGGCTGACCTCTTTAACTTTTGACTCATTAATAGTCCCCAGCAAAGAAAAATCTTTTGATGAGGTTCCCCAGCAGATTTATTTAGAAATGATTCCATTTCCAGGAAGGAGCTAGAGAGCAATGCATTATAAACAGAGTACTTTTCAATAATTCACAAGACAGGCCCACCAATGGCCATTTAAGGATCAGTTTATGGCTTAACTATTAAAAATGAGCTCTCTTTTTACAAAATATCTATCCTTTGCTGTTCTTTCTGTTTGAGCTTCTATCATGGCAGCTTTCTGAAAAGTCTCCTTCATACAGTCTCTCTTGCTTCGGGTGCCTGGATAGAATATGGCTATGGGTGGCCACTTTTAAAAAAATAGACCTTGTGTATGATATTAACTCAGCCAGGTTGTTTCATGTGAATCTTCTGTACTGAGTTTAATGAGAAGTGGGTTGCATAGAAATAAAATTTAATTTTTCCACTTAAAAAGTAACTCTTCCAATTTTCCTCTCACATCAGCAAACACTAATTATTAACATTATCATTTTTATTTATTAACACATTTTGACATTTGTATTTACTCCATATAGACTTTGTATTTTCTTACCTGTTTATTATTCTTTTCTCTTCTCTCTCCATCCCTCCATTAGAATATAAATTCCTTGAGGGTAGAGACATGATATTTTTTGCTTTCTCTGGGATGGACTCAGTCTGATTCTCCCTCTATACATGAGGGGAATAGGCTGGCCCAAGACAGATATCCAAGGATAGTGGTTCAGTGGCTAGAATGGTGGGCTTGGAGTCAGGAAGATCTGAGTTCAACTATGGCCTCACATACTTCACTTACTAGTTGTGTGCCCGAGAGGGTTGTTGTAAGGATCAAATGAGATAATTGTAAACAGAGTGCCTGGCACAGCAGGAATTATATAAATGGTAGCTATTATTATTATTATTATACTCACTCATTCAACAAATTTATGTTTGTTGAACGTCTAACAAGAACAAGCAAAGGACAAAGAATAAACATGCTAAACAGATTAATCCCTCTTCCAGGCCACAGCCCTGAAAGTACTTGAAGAAAACTATCATGTCATAGGGTTGTAAGATTATAGATTTTGATCTGCAAGGGACCTTTGAGGTCATTTCTAAATCCTCATTTTACAGATGAGGAAATTGAGGCTGACAGAGGTTAAGGGACTTGCTTAGGCTCACATAGTGATCTGGATGCCTCTAAAGGGTATTTTTTTTTTCTGGTGAGGCAACTGGGGTTATGTGACTTGATCAGGGTTACATAACTGTTAAGTGTCAAGTGTCTGAGGCTGGATTTGAACTCGTGTCCTCCTTACTCCAAGGCCAGAGCTCTATCCACTGCACCACCTACCTGCCCTAAAAGGGTATATTTTATGAAACTATAAGAACGGAACAAGCAGACTTTAAAAAGTGATTGTCTAGAGTAGACAACATCTTTGTAGTCATATGGATTGAAAAGAGCTGAGAACATGAGATCTAGCTGTGCTTGTTATTTATTGATTACTCCCCTCCCTCAAATTTGCTGCAGCAAAATAGAAGCTTTATACTCTCCTTCAACAAGGAGTCTCTTGTATATGAAAAATATCTCATGTATGCACAATATTCTTTGACAAATGTAATCACAGAGATAACTGTTCCATGATCATCTCATTAACTTCAAGCAAAGCACAACACATAAAGAGAAAGTGTTCACTACTGTCAGGAAAGATGTCTTGGGCAAGGTCCAAATGGAAGAGGGAATCCTTCTAGATGGTGAACTAGAGGGAAGATCTTCCAGGTCCTTCATTGGTTGAGTATGATTTTGTGCTTATTGCATAAAGCCAACACCACTCCAAAATTACAAAACCAGATCCTCGGTGAAATCTGAAAGTGTTGAAAAGAGATTAGCTTAACAATTCATGTAGAAAAAAATGCATGAAAAAAGGCTCTTAGATAGACTGTGCCAGGCAGCTGGATAGCTGATCCACTAAGTACATATAATAAATTCAATACATACATACATCTGGGATAGGCAACATAGACGGACAGTGAGTGAGACTCAGAATTAAGTGGGAGAAAAAGCAGGGTAGGTTGCATTTGGGAAATTGTGCAAACCTTCTAAATGATCCCAAGTGGCTCCCATGCAAAGACCCATCTTTTCAACATAAATGTTCTCCTGTTAATGCTCCATGGTTCTAAATCTTGGAGTAATACAAAAATCTGAGTGATTAAAGTTGCAGATAACCCAGAAAGTAATGGAGATTCTCATGATGAATGCAAATGGACTGCAACACAAATGTGATGATGAATTCTGCTTGCAAAGTGATGTAAGGGATTTTCCTTTTCAGGAAAAGTATGATTTAGAGGAATTAGCCATGTGGAAAGAGAAAGGCATGACAGACAGTTCCCCACTGGTCTACTTCAGTGTCAAAAAGAACAAGGAGAAGGTCTTCAGTACATTGGTGGGTTGATCCTGAAACTGAACTAAGATCTCCTAGATGGTTCTCTGATCTCACAGAAAAGTGACTGGATCAGGTCAGCGATATCTTGGGTTGATCTGCTTTGGTCAGATCATATCTGGAACATTATATTCAGTTCTAGGTAATACCTTTTAAGAAATACATTGATAAGATGGAAAGTGTCCTGAGAGAGAGAGCAACCAGGACGATGAAGGGGCTACAGTTCATGCTGTATTAGGGTCAGTTGAAGAAAATGGGGATGAGGGGCAGCTAGGTGGCACAGTGGATAGAGCACTGGCCCTGGATTCAGGAGGACCTGAGTTCAAATACGGCCTCAGACACATAACACTTACTAGCTGTGTGACCCTGGGCAAGTCACTTAACCCCATTGCCTAGCCAAAAAAAAGAAAAGAAAATGGGGATGAAGAGAAGACATAAAAGCAAACGTAATAGCTGTTTTCAAATGTTTGATGAACTGTCCCGTGGAGGGTATAGCTGTATTCTTCTTGGCTCCATAGGGCAAAGCTAAGAGCAATGAGTGGCAATTGCAAAAAGTTAATTCAAAGTTAATCCAATTAGATTTGATTTCCATAAAACTTCTTAACTATTGGAGCTAGCCAGAAGTGGAACAGGCTGCCTCAAGGGCTAGTAATTCCCCTTATTTGTCCTATAGGTCATAGAGAGATCTTTTTTCAGGTACAGGCTGATCTGAAGTCCCTTCTGACTCCTCAAATTTTTGTAATTCTGTGACACAAGTCATGATCTAGGATTTAACTAATCTGGTCTGGTCTGGTCTTTGGAATGCACCCTGTGACATTTTCTCATGGTATTTGATTACTCTGACCTTGGATACCATGGCCTCTTGTTCCAAGAAACAGATGATTGGAAAAAGTCAACCAATTACCATTTAATAATGTTTCCTCTACGATTTAACTTACATGACTCTTAGTTTTCCAAGGAGTGTATTGTGTGATGGATACAACATGACTTTTGGGATCTTGAAAAGAAACACCTTTTTTTCCAGCTGCTGCCTTCATCTTCCTTTCAAAACAAAGGATAGGACATACATTTTATTTTGAGCCTTCAGGAAACAGATTTTACAAAATCATAAGAACTTTTTCAGGTCTTTAGGGTATAGTATCTTCCACATTGACTGACTGGGATGACTTTAGAGCAGAGTTCATTCTTTAAATATTTCAGCACTAATTGTTCCCCAGAGATTTATTTCAGCTTTTTGTCTGCAAATAATCAAACATGCAAACACATCAAATTAGAATGCACAAACAGGTGTGTGTTGTTAAATTGCAGAACATTATTCTTTATTCTGCAAACAAGAAAAACTGTGTTAGACCTTGAATCTCTCCCAGGACTGTAGACAAATATCAGCAATTAGAACTGTGGAGTTTCTGGCTTATAAAATAGTCTCTCTCTCTCTCAATCTCTCAATCTCTCTCTCTCTCTCTCTCTCTCTCTCTCTCTCTCTCTCTCTCTCTCTTTCTCTCTTTTCCTCCCCTCTTTCTCCCCCTCTCTGTTTCTCTCCCTTTTTCTCTTTTCCTTATTCTCTTTCTCCACAATGTATAATATGATATTAAATAATATATTTAATATATCACCATAATATATATTATTTTAATATTTTATATATAATAGGACCTTTCTTTCCATGAGGAAGTCAGCATAACAGAAATTATTCAATTCAACCATGAACTCTCTTTGCAATGGGCCTACTATATATCTTGAACAAATTACTTAACCTTTCTGTTTCTTATTCTGTAAAACCAGGGATATCATTTTTGACCTTTCTGGATCCTGTGGGGAGTAGAAGAAGTAATTTTGAAGTGTTTCCTGTTTTATAGAGCTTTGTACCCTTGCCTCAGGAACACGTACTCTTGAATCAGCAGCTTGGTTGATTCCTTTGATTAAACTTTCTTCTGTTGCCTGGTGGCACTATTTTTTGGCCCTGGACTGACTTTGGGTTCTTTGCTTTTTGTCTAATTCCTCTTTTGCCTTTGACACCCCCCCAACTCCCCTCATCCTATGAACCCCTCAGGCTTTTGTTGAAATAGCTTCTCTGAATTAGACTGAAAAAAATTGTCAAAATAGGCTACATTTAGGGGATTATAAACTATAGATAATACTTCTTGTCTGTCTAGAGCACACAACTATACCATAGGGAACTCCAGAACTTGTGGGCAGGAAGTGTATCATTGTTGTCTTTGTAATCCAAGTGCCTACTATGTAGTAGGTACTTAATAAATGCTTGATTGATTGATTCCTATGGAACATAGTGACCTACTGATATGTACGAATTTTTTCTAGGAAGAAATTTTAAGATTCTAGCATGTGTATTCTTCCTCAGATTTTCAGTTTTTATGGTTATTTTGAATGATGAAAAATGGGTATCCATCTCCAAAGAAAGAACTGATAGAGTCTAAATGCAGATCAAAGTATACTTTTAAAAACTTTCTGGTTTGTTTTTTTTTTGGTCTGTGTTTTCTTTCACAACATAGCTAATACGGAAATATATTTTGCATGACTGTACATGTATAATCTTTATCTAATTCCTTGCCCTCTCAAGGAGTGGGGAGAGGAGGAAGGGAGAGAGAGAGAATTTGGAACTCAAAATTTTAAAAAACAAAAGTTGAAAATTATTTTTACATGTAATTTGAAAAAAAATATAAAATTTTTCACATTAAAAAAGAAGGGTATTCATATACTGATTCCTAAAGAAGGGAGATTTGAACCAGCGTTCTGACAGTCACTCTGTTAAACATTGTCAGATTTTAAGACCATGTTTTACTTCTTGTGGCCACAAAACAAAAGTAAGATAGCACTTCTCTCTGTGTATAGATTCAACAGTCACTGCTATTTTAAAAAAATATATTTTATTGATGCTTTTTGCCTTTATATTACAATCATTTGTGTACTGGTGCTGCTAGGTGGAGTAATAGAGTGATGGGTCTGAAGGCAGGAAGATCTGAGTACAAATCCCATCTCAGACATTTATTAGCTATGTGACCCTGGACAAGTCACTTAACCTCTGGTTCAGTTTCCTTTGCTGTAAAATGGGTATAATAATAGCACCTACCTCCCAGGGTTGTTGTGAGGTTAAAATGAAATAAAATTTGTAAAGTGCTTTGCAAACCTTAGATCACTATATAAATGCTAGTTGTCATTATCATCTTCATCACCATCATCAAAAAGAACTGCCTCCTTTTTTTTCCAGTTTGATCACTTCCATCTTTAAATAGCCACGGTAAGATATGTAACTCCTAACAGGTTTGCAAGTGAAATACCTTTTCTGGACTCAATCATGCTTTTTTAAACAAGGCTAAGCAACCTTAACAACCTCCATAGGAATTTTGTTTCATTCAGAGCTACAGAATTGGGCCTTCTTGTGTTTAAGAATACATTTTGATGAATTTATAACTGATCTCTTTGCTTTCCCAGCTGGATTCAGCAGTCTTTCCTGAACTGGGACTTTGTATACAAATCTGTCAAGTAAAAAATGTAACTGTCTGTATTAGGGATAGTTGTGCCCCTCTTCCTTTTAATATTTAAGTGAATTTCTTCTTGCTTCATAGACATTTGTTATTTAAAACTGCAGGAAAAGGAGATAGACTTGGAGGTCTTCACTGGTAAAAGTAGAATGAATTTCCCCACTTGGAGAGTTCTAGTAATCCAAAAGAAATAAGAGGAAGGTGATAGTCATTTAATCAATAGATAGATATGTTGAATATTCATCAGGTTCATGGCTCACTACTAAATCCTCAGGATGATGTCCTTATAATAAAAATCTCTGGGCTGCCTTTCTTCCCTGCTCTGCCCTGCACTGCTCTCCCCTCCCTTCCTTTTCCCTCTCCCTTCTTTTCTTTCCTTTTTTCCCCTACCTTCCTTTCTCTCTCCCTCCATCTTTTCCTTCCTTTCTTACTTCTTTCCTTCCTAATAAGAATCTTATCACCAACGATATTCTTTTTGGTAAGTCTTTTGAACGAAGTACTTTTTATTTTATGACTTCCTAAGATTCTTAAGATAGTCCAATGTTGTGTGGAGTGAAACTGGAATAGGAGTGTTTTTTAAGGTTTTTAATCTCTTCATTCTCAATGATTCTTCAGCAAAGGTCTGGTGATACTTGGCATTCTTCTGCCACTCTATCCTAGATACTTTATCTTTTACCTTGCTATCATATAATTCCCTTGACAGTGATACAGGAAAGTAAAATCAGATGACTGAAGAGCAATAGAAAAAAGAAAAATCTTTTAGAAAGAACATTTAAAATGAAATTGAAGTTTGGCAGTCTCCAAAGAAGAGATCCAAGGGTTTTGTAGGTATATGCAGAACACGGAGAAATATTCAATGAAGAGGATTTTAAAATTATTTAATCTATTTTTTTGGAAAATACCAGTGGAAGCCACTATTATAGATAGATTTGGGATTAGAATTTTGTATTTGGTCTGAAACTCCATTAAATGTATTTTTTGGTCTAAGTTTATTCATTCTTCCTTAAACAGTTCCATTCATTGGCACCCATGTACTATCGGGGATCTGCAGCAGCTGTTATAGTGTATGATATCACTAAACAGGTAAGATTGTCCAAACTGAGAAATAATATATTTCTCCTGACTTAGTATGTGAGAAAGGCAGGGACTCACTCATTTGCTTGGGTCTTTCAAATGTGCAGTGGTGGAGTTTATTAGCGTGCAGCCTTGCATTGACAGGAAGTAATGATCCTCAGGAGCCAAAGTTGGCTTTTCCATGTTGCTTTTATTTCCCAAAGGTCTCAATGCATGTAGATATACATCCTATCCAGAAATAAATGAGCAAACCAAATGTCCTAGAGAGTGGCTGCTTATTAACTTTAAGAAAACATTTTACTTGGACCATTTATTTGTAGATAGAACTTTGAGAGTCTTCTTGACCAAGCTTTTAACTTTTGAAGGCAGAAAAGCATTTGTTTTGCAAAGTTTTATATATGGTTATAAAATTCCTGTTTTCTGTCAATATTCCTATGGCTATTACTACAGGAAATTTATGAACTTAAAACCCAGAGATAATATTTATGTGTATATATATGTATATGTGTGTATGTGTGTGTATACATATATATATACATATATATGTACACACATACATATATATGTCTATATATATATGTGTGTGTGTGTGTGTGTATATATATATATATGTATATATATATGTATTTATATATATATATATATGTAAATCTGACAAAGTGAGGTTATAGGATGTGCATTAATGGATCTTCACAGCAGTTTGCTGACATTTTATTTCTTTCCTACAAATTGAATTATTTACTTTTAGCTTTGAAAGGCTGACTCAGAACACTAAGGCATTAGCTTAATGACCCATCACTGCTACCATTTATTAATTTGTGCCACTTTTTGCTCTATGTTCTGTGTTCTTTGGCTCAATGAGTGGGGGGAGGGTACAAATAAAGGGCAAAAAGGAAAAACAGACTTCAGAGCACATGAGCTGTTCCTCCTATTGAAGCAAACATGAAAGGAGCCCTCCATCCCAAACAGGATATCATCAGCCTTGTTATCTGTATTTATGTAGTGTAAAGGATACAACTTTAAAGAAATATTAACTTACAGAAAAAAGGGTCAGTAGAAAACCTTTTCACCTCTATCAGAGGTTTAATTTTATTCTTTGAATGAGTTTCATATTTTATAGTGTTATTGAATGCTTTTGTTTTTATATCATACTCATTTCTCACTTGCCTCCTCTCCTCTCCGACCCTGACCTTATCATAGAAACTTGTCTTATAACAACAAAAACAACAACAAAATCCCAATAACACAAAACTGGCCAATTCAGTAACCATATTTGATAACATTTTGCACAATAGTCCCTTACTTTTCTGTTGAGAAGAGGGAATTATGTTGAATGTTTCGGATTGTGTGAAAGAATGAATTGTATTTTCAATGATAGTTTTATATTTACATAATACAGAGAAGTAGCCTAAGTCACATTATTCAAGAGAACCCATGAAAACTCTTTCTTCATCAAACTGGAGTGCACTTGTAATGGCAAGACAATGTTAGATTTTAAAAAGATCCAAATAAACTTTCTGAATAATTTGCTTGTGCTTTCGATTTAGGATTCTTTTAATACCTTGAAGAAATGGGTGAAAGAATTAAAAGAACATGGTCCAGAAAACATTGTAATGGCCATCGCTGGAAACAAATGTGATCTCTCAGATATTAGGTAATATATACATATATATGCATATGTTTACTTATGTGGGTGCAATTATGAATTATCCTATTAATACTTATGTGCAGATTGAGAAGGTTATGCCAATGGTACTACTTCTTAATCTAATCTCTTATTTGACTGGTGTCTGATCTTTTCCTTCTGGGTCCTCTAGTCCAACCTATTTATCTTACATATGAAAATTCTGAAGTCCATAGACATCAAATGACTTGTCTAAGGCCACATGGCTACTTTACAAGAGGAGCTAAGTTTCCAGATTCTTAGTCCAGTGGTCTTTCTTCTATTAATCTCCCTTGAATAAGCAGCTATAAATTTCAGAATGAGTTTATCAGTAGAAAAATCAAATCTGCTAAATATTGGTCATTATTAGCTGTGACATATAACAGTGACTCAATTATCCCACAGTTAGATTTAGAGGAACTTCAGATTTCCGAACATAGCTGGGTACCTGGCAGTAAGACCCTGATCAACCTTAGCTATCTAAAATATAGTTATGTACCTAGAAGGAAGGGATAGAGTCTTTGAAGGATGAAAAAATATTTCTATGGGCATTCTATTCACTCTGCTTCAGTAGTTTTCTCCTCATTCCACTGCTTCCTCATAAATAGTTTTAGACATTTGTAATGTGAGTTTTTAGGTCTCCAATTGAAATGAACACCAGTAGGCCTGAGTATGTAGGTATCTGATGAAAGTACTCCAAAATGAATTGAAATGGGCCAGGCTGGATGTGTAGAAAAAGGTCATAAGGTAAATGCCACAGCTTCCAGCTAAGATGCATCTCATTGGTGTGCCAGTTTCATTGAGTAGAGGCGAGGTGGTGAGCCTTTTTAAGAGAAGAGTTGAGGCTAAGCAGTCTACAGCAACAAGACTGTCCATGAAATTGCTCCTTTACCCATTGAACAAATGAAGTGTCAATCCCATGCGTACTTGTACATTCTGCCCTTCAGGAATCCCATGGACTAAAGGTGTAAATATATAACTAGAAACAAACATACTTTGTGTCTGTGTGTATTTTGTAAATAGCAATGAGACAAACAGGGTTAAGTGGCTTGTCCAGGATCACACACCTAGTAAGAGTTGGGGGCTGGATTTGAACTCACGTCTTCCCAGTTCCAAGCCCAGTGCCCTATACACTGTACCACCTAGCTGCCTTCTTATAGCTAGCCTTATCTTTTTATAGGTACAGGGCTTTTAAATTATAGAGAATTGCCCTATGAAAATTATAATCTATTACTGCATGATATAGAAAGAGGAAGCAAATTTGTCCAAGTGAAAAAGTCTATGATCTCTCACTGCATCCAGGGCCATCTCCAGTTGTCCTGATCTATGTCTTGCCACTGGACCTAGATGGCTCCTGATAAGAAAGTGAGGCTGGTGACTTTGCACAGCCCCGTCTCACTTAAATCTAATTCACTTGCAAGTTATGGCATCACCTCCCTGATGTCATGGTCCTCTTTAAGAACAAAGGACAAACAACAACAATTTTATAAATGCCTATGAACAACAACTACAAAAAAATCATATTGGGACAATTTCTAGGTAATATCCTACAAACAGTAAATGTACTTTATTCAAGTATGTCCTATAGCATTCTTCCCGTTTACTATGAAATTCCTAGAAGAAGCCATTTAGGGGTATCACTTATATTTTCTCACCAAGGTCTATTAATCTCCAGATCTTTTTACTAATCTCCAGGCCTTATATTTCTTGACATCTCTGTAGCATTTAACAAAATTGATCACTTTCTCCTCCTAGAAACTATCTCCTCCTTGGCTTTTCATGATGTTGCTTTCTTCTGGTCCTTTTCCTACCTGCCTGGAAGCTTTCTTTCAGTCTCTTTTGTGGGGTCATTATCTCTGTTCTGCTCTATATGCATGGCTGTATCCCAGGGTACTGTCCTGGGTCCTGTTCTCTTCAGTAGCTTTTTTTTCCAGTGTTTTCACTGGTTCCCATCAGTTCAATTATCATATCTATGCCACTGATTTTCAGATCTACATATCCAACCCCAGTCTTTTTCTTGAACTCCACTCCCTTATTACCAGCTACCTATGGGATATCTCCAAATGGATGTCACACAGGATCTCAAACTCATTATTCCCAAAACAATTCATTTTCCCTTCCTCCAAATCCTCCCTCTACTCTGCATTTTACTATGTGACTTTGGCCAAGTCAGTACCCCTCTTTAAGCTTCAGTTTGCTAATCTACAAAAATGAGAGGGTTGAATAAATTAATCTCTTAAGGTCCCTTCCAATGTTAAATCTAAGATTTTTGATAATTTTTTTTTTAATAGCAAGCTCTTAGTATATTTTAAATGTTTCAATTTCCACAAAACTACATAATACTGGTTTGGTTTTTTTTGTACTTGACATGGCCCTTAGAATTGTATATATGGGCTACGTATGTGTAACCCTTGACCCTGCAACATCCTAAGGAGGTAGTAGCTCTTAACTTCTCTGCCAGTGCCTCACTGGCCACCTGTAATTTCATTGTTATGGGGGTTCTCTCCCTTGACTCAGATTATAGACCCTTTGTAAGTTAGTAGATGAAATCTGAGAGCTGCTAAGGCTGAAACAATTCATTACCTTGAGGCTAATCTGGTGATAAACCCTTTAAACTTAACCTTGGAGATAAAACATACAGTCCATAAGTAGGCACAGTAATTAGTAAATTGACTAACTAGGATCATGTTTAAATGTCTGTGATCCATTATAATCCTTGGTTCCTTGAACTGCGATGTCCATAATTTATCATTATTGATATATAATGTACATATAATAGTAATATTTTTAAAATTTTTTGTCTATAATAGTAATGTTAACAATAATAATAGCTAGCATTTATATAGTGTTTTAGGGTTTGCAAAATACTTTACAAGTATTATCTTATTTGATCCTGACAACAATCCTGTGAAGTAGGTACTATTGTTAGCCTCATTTTACAAATTAGGAAACTGAGGCACAAAGAGGTTAAATTACTTGCCTAGGGTCACACAACCATCAAATTTTTGAACTCATCTCCTAACACCAACTCCAGCACTCTGTCTACTGTGTCACCTAACTTACACATGTGTTTCATTGTGTTTTATAAGAGAGCAACTGTAGTAGAAGTAACCTAGGGCATATAGTTATTTCCTCATTAAATTTGTGAAGTTTTGAATCCCTTTAACTCCTTACCTAAGCAATTAGTTGACTTGTCTGCTAAGTGGTTTGAATTCAGCTAATGTTTATGAAACATAGTTGTGTCCATTTTGTATTTCCCCTTCTGGAGGTAAGCTCCATAAACTCTCATTTCCATGTCTTTTTCTTTATAGATTTTCTAGTCCTTAGTTCTGTGCACAGTATGTGCTTAATAAATTAAATGAATTCATTAATATATTATTGTATAAAGTACTGTATTTGGCCTTATAAAGGAAATAAGGATGAATTAGACATGGTCCTATCCTCAAACAGCTTCCAGTATGATAAAGGAGATAAGACAGGCACAGATAGATATATTGGAAGGTAGGTTATCATAAGTACCACAAAACAGGCATAAACAAAAATGCTTTGAAAGTATAAAGAAGGGAGAGAGAGATTTTTGTTAGGGGGATTAACAAAGCTTCATAGAAGAGAAGGTGTTTGAAGAGGGCCTGAAGTATGTGTAGGATTTTCACAGGCAGAGATAAAGGTTGGGGAAGACATCCAGGGAGAGGGAAAGACAAAGTCAGGAAAAGCATAAAGGGTGATTTTTCAGAAAGGTAGTCCTAAGCTATTAAATAATCATTTGTCAAAATAGAATAAGAACAATAATTAATTGTTCAATTGTCATTCCCAGAATCCTAAGAAGGATAGTAACTCTCTTGGGGTTATAATTAAACCATATACTCATAATTTTGCCTTTTCAGATGGGGTTAGTATGTTCCAGAATTATTCCTTTTCTTTTTCCATTGCTCCATGTGAGAATATGTTTGATTTTGATATTTGATCTTTTTTATTGATATGGTCCTGGATAGAGTTCTGGTGAAATTTGTTATTACCCAGAACTGTCAGCTATGACCCTCCTAGAATCTATTGTGACTTTAGTCCATTACTTGATATGTTAGCTGTCACTGTTGTCATTCAGAGATTCATGAAAATGTATGATGTCACAGAGAGATCTCTACCTAGATAGTGTTCATTCTGCAGGAACAGGAATTAACATCAATATCCTTCTCTGCAGGAAAGGAGAGTGAATTACAGAATTACCTGACTATGTAATGATGCATTTTAAAACTAAGTTTTCCTTTCACTTATGGCATAGTGCTGCCCAATTTAACCAATCCAACAAGCATATATTATAATGCCTACTGTGTGTAATGCACCATACTAGACACCGGGAAATACAGTGACTAGACAAAACAATAAAACAACCCAATCCTTGCTCCCTAGAAGCTTAAATTCTACTTGGGTCATACAAGATCTAAATAAATTGCTAGATATATGAGTATTTGAGGCTAGAAAGAGCAATGCCATGTATTTAATTGATATTATTATTGTTGTTGTTATTTCTGCCACCAGCATTATTTGAGGTGATCCCTTTGGTTGGACAAGATGAATTATTCATGTTCTGCATGACATAGTTGTTTAGTTAAATCAAGCATTCCTGGTGAAGTAAAACTCCAACTTGTAATTCAATATTAAATTTAGACCTAGGTCATCTCCTAAGACTTGAGACATGATGTATATTGCAAAACGTGTGCACTGCCTTATCCCTGAAACAATGAAACATAGAGCAACCTTCCTCTGGAGAGGGGTTTATACTGGCTTAGAATAGAGGTTTGAGGATGCCTTTATCAAGTCTTATAGGCTAGCTGCCTCACTAAATAAATATGTAATAAAGAAGCAAATAATGAATTTTCATCTGCTCTATTCCATTGGTTATTTTGGCTGTCAGGAATATTGGAAGCCAATTCCCATAAATACCATGATAGACAGTACACAGTGCTCCAAGTTTTTCTAATCCATATATGATT